GGGGGAGGGGCCCACAGGCAGCCCAGGCTCCCTCCACAAGCTGTCCCCTGACCACGGCTTGGTGGCAGGCCGGGCAGCAGACTGGAACAGGGGTATAGAAGCTGGGGTGCAGTGCTGGGGTGTGGTGCAGTGCAGTGGGTCCCTCCCTGAGGGGGGTAGCAGTGTGCAGCAGAGGACCCCCCCCGGGGGTGGGGAAGCAGCAGCAGCAGCAGCCGCCCAAGGCAGGGAGGAGTGCAGCCAACTTACTCCAAAAGCTCTGAGACCAAGCCATCAGCTAATAGTAGCCAGAGGCAGGAAAGGGCCTGGCCATCTTCTTCCCAGTAGCTCCTGAGACCAAGCTTGCAGCAACCAGCTACAGCAGCAGCAGCCTGGGACAGTAAGGGGCATGGCCAACTTCCCCCCAGAGGCTCCTCCCCCAGAAGCTCCTGAGAGCAAGTAGCCCTCCGCTGCTTGCCACGGCAGCTTTTTGTATGGATGAGGCCAGGGCAGGGAAGCTTTTTATACTGCTGGGGACAGCACAGGTGCTGGCCCTGGGCTCTAGCTCCCGCTGGCTGCAGATCCCGGAGGAGTCAGGCACGGTTATTTTGCCCCAAGTGGCACAATTTGCTCCACAGCAAAGTGCATTTCCGAGCATGTGCACTGAGGCAAAAAGCCCTGGCTCAAATTTGCACCACTTCTATTTGAGCTGCTACAAGCGCACATGCTTGCATGTGTGGACACGGCCTCTAAGTTTTTTCTTTAAATTTTGCCTTGATCTGTTTTGATTGAATTAGCTAAATGTGGTATTTAAATGTACTTCCCACAAAGAATAACCCTTCCCTAGGAAAATAAATAAAGAGTACAATTGCAAAGAAGATTAAAAAAACCCAATTATTTTTAAATAAGTTTCCTCCTGGCTAACTTCAGTCATAACTAAATTAGATTATTTAAATCGCTGTGATTTCCATCAATATATCTTGAATCTCTTATTCCATGAAGAACCCTTAATTAAATTGTACCTCATGAAGTTGCCATTAATGGGGCTAGATACACAATAAGGGATGACTTGATGTAAGTAAGGCTGGAGGGCAGAATCTAGCCCTGAGTGAACTCAGCCGCCCACTTTTTTCTCATCATTAATTAACTTTAAATGTGATACAATATTTAAGAATTTGTTTCCTATTATAAATTATTCTCTGTGTGCTTTATGTTCCAGCCTGCAAGTTGACTTCTAGCTATTTTCAGGAATTCACCATTCAGTGTTTTTCAGCTATGTGGTTGGCCACCTAAGTCAGTACATGGTTGTGGTCTAATAGTGTGATAAGACCTGGAAAATATGACATTGGAAGTATAACAGATTTTGAATAAAGGAAGTAATAAAACACTGGACCAGATTTTTAGTGTTAAATTCTCAGTCATTGAAATCAAGAATTCAAAAAATTCATGACCTGTTTCAACCACAGGTTTTGGTTGAAAAACAGGGATAATCAGAAGTTCCATGGTCAGTTTAACATTATGCAGCAACTTTAGATTTGATCAACATGGTCATTGTGGGCTTAAAATTTGTGAGTTTGTATTTCCTGCCTGATGTAATGAACATTTCACAGACATGTCTTTCTACCCATATAACTAAGGGTCTACTGAACTCAAGGATGTGGCTGGCCAATTTTAAGGGCAGATCCTGCTATTTTCATGGGTGAGGCACATTGGGCCTGCCATACACACTTCAGGCTGAGGGGCCCCAGCAGTCAGCCCCCTACCCACAGATTACCAGATGGCTTGAAACCACAGCGTAATTGCCTTGATTACGCCTCCCATTAATTCATGTGTTACTGAGTGCAGATGAATGGATCTCCCAGGCTTAACCAGGGTAATAAGGCCACAGTTTTGGGACACACGCAAGCAAGGCTGATGCACAAACAGGTGCACCAGGGTTTCCAGGCTGTCTGTGGCAGGCAGCCAGGAGGCTGCACTGGCATCTGCTGAACTCTGACCCAGCTAGTTGCATGCATGCACCCACTGCCAGCAGTGAGCCGGGCTGGGGTTCTGCAGACTCCAATGTAGCCTCCTGCTCCCTGCCCAAGCTGGCCTGGGACTCTGGTGCAGCTGTTTGTCTAGCATCCCCACCTCCAGCTGTGAGCAGCTGTGCCCTGTCTCCTGCTCACACCTACCTTCCCTCTCCCCCTCCTATATTCTCCTCCCCATTTCCCTTTCTTTCCACACTCTGCCCTCCGCCCTCCACCCTCCTCCTCATGCTCCAAGACTGAAGGGCTTCCTGCCCCTTTTTCTGCTTGCTGGTAAGTTTTTTTTTGTCTGTTTTGTTTTCATTTTGTTTTCAGTATGTCCACTATTTTTCACGGAGCCCAGTGGAATTCACAAGTTCCACAAAAATTGTGCAACTGTGAATTTGGGAATTACCTACTAATAACCCATCAGAAATCAGCAAGCAGAAAATAACCTACTCAGGTCTGAAATGTCACATTCCTTCTGAGTCTCAGCGGAAGCCAATGCCTAGTGACAGAGAGCAGATGTGCCATGCCTCATGAGCTCTGCTGGTTCCTGCCCCTCTTTCATCACTGTATCTGAAGTCACAGATCCTTTCCCAGGGGAAGCTGTTGTCTTGATGTGAGATTTTAAGAATGAAAGAATCAGAATTATCTTTACCCTGATAGGAAACAGCACGGGGCTGATAGGTGGTACTTCTCTTGTGACCATCCTGGGCCAGTGCCCAGGCAGAACATTGAGACACGAGAGCACTGACCCTGTCAGCAAAGTAACTGTTGTCTTCTAGGTCCTCTAACATGTTGTTGAGTGCACAATAAATAGCTACAATTGCTGGGGGGATAGTAGATTCAGATGGGTGAGTTGTGGGGTTCACTGACAGGTGTGACAGAGAAACTCCAGTCTGGCTCCAAAGTCTCAAGAATGTGATATGTTCAGGCTCAAATGTGTTTGTTTTCTCTCTCTCATTTCTCTTAGAATCTTGTTCCGAGTCTTCATCATGGCGACTCATTGCACTGGTTCTGGGGTCCCTCTTTCTGGCTTTGTTTGTAATTTCAAGAGTCTTCAGTGCCCAATGTAAGTATTTGCTATGAACATGATAAGAAAAGATCTAAGCCACTGGAAAACATAGAAAACACCAAGCAATGTACCAAAATTCACAGTGTTATATGTTGGGTCCCTTTGTGGATGATAACAGTTTTAATTGGGTGGTCAAAATCTATTGCATGCACAGCTATGATTTAAAATTTTGTAACTGAAACATTTGATAAGATGATGTCTTAAAGAATTTTTTTGATTTATGAGGTTAGGTTGAGATTTCCATTGTTTATTGTTTAAATGTGGTTAGAATTATGGCACAGAAATGAGATTTCACATCTATGGCTTTGAAAAGATTATTCCAGATTATTTCTCAGTTTTCCAAGCTGAAAGAAAATGGGCGATAGCATGAAGAAGACATTTTGATTTAAACAAGGCAAATTCAACATGTATTTGGAGACTGACCTTTACAAGCTGAGAAGGTTTTTTTCAAGCAACAAGTAGATTTTCAGTAATACTTTGGTTACTTTAACAAAAAAGTTATGCACAACTCAGCATATTCTGATGGAACTGGCAACTGGTTTTTAAAGAATAATTTGGTTCTCTTTTAACTGAGGGGTAGTTAAAACACTGTTCTCCTATATTTTGCTCTTCATTGTGGACTTAAGTTCTCCTGCCTTCCCTCCAAGTGAGAAATGAGATTGGAATCCTTCCCCAGCAAGAGGAAGTTCTGAAAAACCTTACACAGTTGAATGAAATTTTGGAAAACTGCATCTTGGAAAGGGATAATTTCAAGGCCCAGAACACAAACCTGAAAGGTACTGAGTAGTGTTCATGATTTTATTCCACAATTAATATTAAATTTTAATTAGTATCCAGTTCTTTGTGTCCTAATGACAGAGAGGGTTCTTGCCCCTCAAGCACCCACTGTACAAGGGCTTGACTTGGTTACTGATAATCTGGAAAGTCCAAGCCAAATTTGTTTGAGAAATGGGATCTCCTCAGTACATACATAGACAATGATCCACAGCTCCATAATGCCACACTTGAGAAAAGTAGGTAGCTCTGTGGCAGCTGAAATCTCTTAGTTGAGCAAGGTAAAGCCACAGAGCCACAGAGTGACAATGAGTAATGCACAAGATATATGTGCAGGGGGTGCCAAGAAAGATTCTCATACTTTTTCCTCCCTCCAATAATAGCAAGCACTATCATGGTTTCCTTATCAGACTTGTCATTCTCTTGACTGGCATGATGGAAACCATGCATGATAATAGCTCACCTGCAGTTGAAGCCACTTCTTAGGATTAAATGACCTATAGATAGCCTCAGTAAACAACGAGCGCATGCTACCTCTCCCTGTTGAGAAGGATCTCTGGCCACTCCCAGGGCACAGATAGCAGTGACAACTTTCACCAGAGCTGGCCACAGGAAAAAAAAATACAGTTTATTGCTATGACCAAAGACAAATGTATGGCTGCAGACTACTTCAAAAATGGCTGATAGGGCATATATCTGAACCCTCATTGCAGAAGAAATCAGATGAAGACATGTCAAAACAGAGTGTTTTCTGTAATTTCTGTCTGCAGAGCTCCCAGTTTGACACTGTTTTCAGAATGAAAGGGAGGAAAGGGAACGTGGGGAGTTCAGCCTAGGTGGTTTTCAGCCCCTGTTGGAGGGTGGGGTGGGTGAATTACAGCCCCCCATATTGGGGTGGGGGAAGGCTTCCACGTGGTGGGCCATTAGGAGGCACTCCTGGACTGAGCCACCCGCCTCACTGTGCTCGACTAAAAAACAATCCTCAAGTGCCTCCCCTGGGGCACCTATGTCAGGCCAAACCTCTTCCTGGAGCACACCCGCAAGCTTGGGGTACTGCTGCCACTACCTGGACTCAGGTCTTTGTCTGGGCCCTGTGCCACCTGGTATACACCGGCCCTGTAGATCTTGGGATTTTGGGGTGCTTCTATTAGCCAGAAGCATTCACTATCAGCCTCCCATGCAGGAGGAAAGTAAAATAACTGAGCCCACCTTAGAATCATATAATTGTAGAACCAGAAGGGACCATCAATTCCGGTCCCCTGCTACGGGCAGAATGTTATTGGTAGGGCTGTGAGAGGCTTCGGACAGTGCTTTGGATCCAGAGAAGCTTCAGACACTTCAGCATCCAAAGCACCATGTCCAGATCAAAGCACTGGCTTCGTTAGGCTTTCTGAAGCGGGTCAGAGCTTCCAAAGCACTTTGGAAAAGCTTCGGAGCTGTTTTGGAGATCTAGCCATAGGGTATAAAGGGGAAACAATTAAATATCTATAACTTTGTTGTTTTTTGTCTTATTTGGGTGAAATAATTGATTGATTGGTAACAGATTATGATTGATTGGTAACTGGTAACAGAGTAGTTTAGCAGCCAGGCCTGCAATAGGTCATCCCCCCCACAAGACAGACAGTCAGTTGCACAAGCACCCATGTCATGAGTTTTGTCTGTCAGCAGCTAGAGGTGCAGGGCCCCAGAACCCAGAAGCCCCGCACCTATCTCCTCGACAGCTGGCAGGCTTTGTGGCAGCAGCAGGGGCCATGACCCCTGCAGTTTTCAGCCCACTGCGACCTTAATACACACAGGGTCACGAGTTTTGCTTGTCAGTCGCTTGAGGTGCATTTCCCCCCAAACCCCTTCACCTTTCAACTTGAAACTTGGCAGGCTTTGTGGCCTCACCAGGGGACACCACGCCTGCAGTTTTCACCCCACTGTGGCTTAACACATACATGTGACATGAGCTTTGCTTTCAAGAATTTGGGGTGCAGTTCCCCCCAGCCCCCTGCACTGATCTTCTTGAAACTTGGTAGACTTCATGCTCTCAGCAGAGGCTACCATTTCTGCAAGTATCATCCAAATCAGACTGAAAAAACCCAGAGTTATAGATATTTCATTGATTCCCCATTATATCCTATGGCCAGATCTCCGAGGCGGCTCCAAAGCTTCGGAGCCACTTCAGCTGGATCGAAGCGGAAACCTGGCTTCGGGGTCCAGATCAGAAAGCTGGCATCTGAAGTGGCAAGATCCAAAGCTGGATTGAATAGCTGCCTACTTGCACAGGCCTAGTTATTGGGCTCAGACAAGCTCAGCAAGGTGCTTGTCCAGCCTCTTCTTGAACACCTCCAATGATAGTGAATGTATCAGCTCTGGTGGGAGTGTGTTCCAGATTCTAGCGACCCTTACAGAGAAAAAGTTCTTCCTTATGTCTAGCCTGAATTTGCCCTCTATAAGCTTGTCTGTTTGTCCTTGTCCTCCCTTGCAGTGCCCTCCTAAAGAGTTGATTCCCCAGATCTTTGTGTTCTGCTCTGGTGTACTTGTAGGTGGCTGTCAGGTCACCTCTCAACCTTCCCTTACTCAGGCTGAACAGGTCCAATTCCCTAAGTCTCTCCTTGTAGGGGTTATCCTCCATGCCCGTGACCATGTGAGTGCCCTTCTTTGTACCCTCTTGAACTTATCCATGTCCCTCTTGAAATGTGATGCCCAGAACTGGACACAGTACTCCAGCTCAGACCTCACCAGTGCTGAATAGAGAGGGAGGAGCACTTTCCTAGATTTACTGGATGCACATTGGCTAATGCACGCCAGAGTTCTATTTGCTTTCCTAGTGACCTCATCGCACTGCTGGCTCATATTCATCTTCCGGTCAATTGTAACCCCCAGGTCTCACTATGATTCCATGCCAGCCAGTGGACCACCACCCATTGTGTAGCTGTGGTAAGGGTTCTTCCTACCCGGGTGAAGGACTTTGTACTTATCTGTATTAAATCCCATTTGATTCTGCTTCACCCAAGGGTCCAGCCTGTCAAGATCTTCCTGGATCCTGGCTCGATTTCATAGACATTCGGGCTAGAAGGGACCCCGTAGGATCATCGAGTCCAGCCTCTTGCCCCAGGGGCAGGAAGTCATCAGGGATCATAGGATCCCAGCAAGATAAACATTCAAAAGTGTCTTGAAGGCATTCAAAGTGGGTGCTTGAACCACCTCCGGTGGCAGGCTATCCCAAACACTGGGGGCTCGGACAGTGAAGAAGTCCAGCCTGAAATGGTCGCAGAGGAGTTTGTGACCATTCAATCTTGTCATCCTTTGGGGCGCTCTGGTGAACAGACATTCCCCCAGATCCTGGTGAACACCCCTGATAAACTTACAGGTGGCCACCAGATCCCCCCTGAGTCTGAGCTTTTCTAGGCTGAAGAGTCCCATGGCTCTCAGCCTCTCATCATAAAGTCTGTTATCCTGACCTTTGATCACGTGCATGGCTCTCCTCTGCAGTCTCTCAAGCTTCTCCACATCCTTTTTGAATTGTGGATCCCAAAACTGGATGCAGTACTCCAGCTGCAGCCTCACCAAGGCTGAGTACAATGGGAGAATGACGTCCCGGGATTTGCTTGAGAGGCATCTATGGATGCAAGCCAGCGTTTTGCTTGCTTTACTAGCTGCAGCATCACATTGAAGGCTCATGTTTACCTTGTGGTCAATCATGATCCTCCAGTGTGTCTGCATTTCCCCACAGCTTGGTATCATCCATGAACTTAATAATTGAGCTTTCCACCCCCTCATCCAGATCACTGATGAATATATTAAAGAGCATGGGTCCAAGCACAGATCCCTCGGGGACACCACTGGAGATGGCCTTCCAGGATGAGGCCAGCCCATCAATTACCATCCACTAGGAGTGGCCTCTAAACTAATTGTCCAATCACTTTACTGAGGACTGGTCAAGTCCAGCATCTTCAAGTTTGTTTCAGAGAATCCTGTGGGAAACCAAATCAAAGGCTTTACTGAAGTCCAAGTAGGTCATGTCCAACATGTGTCCCTTTTCCAGATGGCTAGTTACCTGGTCATAGAAGGACACAAGGTTTGTCAAGCATGATCTACTCTCAACAAAGCCATGCTGATTGGTTCTTAACACCCCATTCATTTCCAGCTTGCAAATGATGGCCTCCTTAATAAGTTTTTCCAAAAATTTTACCCAGGACCGAGGTCAGACTGACTGGCCTGCAGTTTGCAGGGTCATCCCTCTTCCCTTTCTTGAAAATGGGCACCATGTTGGCCATCTTCCAGTTATCTGGGACCACTCCCAAGTTCCACGACTCTTCAAACAACTTGGCCAGTGGTGCTACAATTAGCTCAGCCAGTTCTTTCAGGATTCTTGAGTGCAGGTTGTCAGGCCCCACAGACTTGAAGACATCCAAGTGTTGCAGGAGATCTCTCACATGTTCAGGACTGATTTTGTGTAGCTTGTTGTCTTCCCTATGCTCCCTGGGCCTCTGATCAGGCGAGCAGCCCACACTTGATTTCAGGAATATCAGTGTGAAATATTCATTTAGGAGTTCAGCTTTTTCGCAGGCACTGATTGTGGGCTCCCCTTGAGCATTTAGTAAGGGTCCCATAGTGGAGCCTGATTTTTTTCATACTCCCTATGTATCTGTAGAAGGACTTTTTGTTGTCTTTTATTCTGGTTGCCAGCTTGATCTCCATGCCTGCCTTGGCTTTCCTTATCTTATATCAGCAGGCTCCGGTGATGCAGGTGTATTCCTCTCTGGTTACTAAGTCCTTCTTCCACTGTTTATATGCTTCTTTTTTCTTTTTTAGAAGCTCTCTAATACTCCTGTTGAGCCAAGTTGGTCTGTTGGTTCCTTTCCCGTTTTTTGCCTGCATGGGGATGGCCTATTTTTGAGCTATAAGAATTGCCTCCTTAAGGAAGCACCACTGTTTCTGAACTCCCAAGTCATCCAGTTGCAGATTGCAGAGGGCCTTTCCAACTAGCTTCTTAAGTTTGGCAAAATCTGCCTTCTTGAAGTCTAGGACTTCTGTTGTGCTGTCTGATTTCCCAGTCTTAAGGTGGATGGTGAACCTGACCGGGTCATGATCACTGTCCCCTAGAGTACCACCAATCCTTAGGTTGCCTATGATGTCATCACTTTTGGCCAGCACCAGATCCAGAGTTGCCTTACCTCTGGTAGACCCTTCCACAACTAGCATCAAATACAGGTCATCTATTGCTGACCTTAGCGGGTCCCTTCTTTCTTAACCCCACATAGTGAGGTGTGCTAAAACAGATTTATTGATCCAAGAGGGATGGGAAGGGGAAAGAATACCAATAACAAAATATAGAAACAAAACCATCTTGAGCAAATCTGAGTGGCTTGTCCGCCTTGTGCCATGTGACTAGATTATAGTCAACTACATTCCTACTTAGGTTTCTGGTAAGTTATTCACTTCCAGAGCCTGAGTATGAGAGAGGGTTTCAGAAGTCCATGCTGCTCAGTGTATCTTTAAAAATGTCTGCCACCATTCTTCCTGGAGGGGACATCTTAAATAGCCCTTCTGACCTCACCTTCTAGACCCAATCAGGAACAGGTGTTGTTTGAGGCTGACCAGCCAATTTGAAAAGCATCACACCTTGACCTGGGCTCAAGCCCATGCCCCACAGGTCATGAGGCTAGGCCTACAACCTCTTACTTGACTCAGATGACATATGCTGTAACCTGAGGCAACCAGATTGACAGACAGGTGAGTGAAGAAAGAGAAAGAAAGGAGGAACCCCCTCCCCCCCAAAAAACCCAAACAAAAGGAGGAGGCTGGGATGGAGTCCTCTCACATCCCATACACCTGCCTTACCCTCCAGAGTTGGCTGGAGAAGCCTTGAACAAGCACCCTCTGCTTCCTTTCCCCCCTCCCATGCTGAAACAGGGACAGGCTGGGGGAGAGGAGGGGCTGTTGCTAGGGGAAACTGGCAGCAGGCTCCCAGCCAGTTGGGAATACAGATTCATTCAGAAGATTCCCTAAACACCTGGTCAAGATGTCCGGGCTTTGCTCAGAGGTGAGAAGAACATTTTTTTGTTGTTGTTTCCTGTTCTTCCTTGTTTCTTCTTTGTCTTACTACCATTAACTGGAAAATGTTGGTTGCTTCAGATACTTTATGGAAGTCTCTCAAACACCCACCCTAGAGCAGGCAGTTACACTTCAGTTCAGTCTCCATTCTTCTTCATTGACTGCACAGATGTTCCTGGTTGGGGATTATGTGCTATGTGGCACTGCACGGCTACACAGGAAGGGCCACATCTCTGTATGAAGCAGACAAAACCCTAGCCAATATACTCAGGGAGCAAAAGAACTCCAGGAGCCCAGCATCCTGAATCACCTGCCACTGAGCAGAGCAAGTTGAGGTTAGCTTCATGCTTTTCAAGGGAAGGGAGCACTCACCCGGGAGTGAAATTAGCTTTTGCTGTCATCACTGCAGCTTTATAAAGTTATCCATAGTATACTCCACATGGATTGTTTATCTTCTAAAAGAGGCACAACCATCCTCAAGACTAGGATCTGTGACTTTCTTCTGCCCCAAAACAGGATTCTGGTATATTAGCGAAGGGGGAGACTGCATGATCATAACTAGGTTGATAGCTTTGGTCCCTTTATTCCCATGGAGAAAAACAAGCCCTTATTCCTCACTGAACAGTGCAGCATGTGAACATAAGTTTCTCCATGGTGCACTCTACATCACAAGGCATCTCATCCATCCCCCTGGAAATATGACAACTTTCTGTATCAAACATGTTTTTATTTTCAAGGAGAAAAATGCAGTGCTTACTCAGATTGCTGGAAACCCCACGGCGAAAAGTTTTACTATTTTACTAAGGAAAGGAAAAGCTATCAGGAATGTAAAGCACACTGCTCTTCTCATGGCTCCAAACTACTCAAGATAGAGAACAAGGATGAGATGGTAGGACATTGTTTCTGCTCCTTTGTGTGCACTAGCCACTGACTTACACCTTTCAAGATGCCTGTGTAGTGATGTGAGCTATTGCTCTTGAAAGGATGCTCATGTTACAAGGTAGCATGGTCCTCAACAGTGCCCTGGGTTATGTTCTGAATTAAAATCTCAACCCAGAAAAGGATGTGGGCACTTAAATTGGGACAAGCCAGATATAGGTGGCTAAGTAGAACACTCTGGCTGCATCTACATGTGTCGCTATGGCAATGTTGTTATTGTGCCATGATTTAGTACTTCCTTATGCCCAGTAGCAGCCCAAACTGTGCCTTCCACATGGTGCATGGTTATTTTTAGCAGCTTATTCGCTGTTAGGATGCACTATAATGGGGGAAGTTTGTCGCTATGGTGAAGTAGCTGCTGGTCACATGTAGACCCCTATGGATGCTACATCACCATAGCGTGTTGCTATGTCAGCATAGCATCACATGTAGATGCTCTCTCTGACTCCCCAAATGTCTGCTCAGCCGGCATTAAAGAGGTGTCTCATGCCTGTAGGCATCTGAGATTTCAACATTACAGTTCCCCAGAATCATAAAGTTTTGCTTCTTCAAAAGTCCATTTAATCCTGGCAGCACAGAGCAGCTAATGTGCCTGGCTCATGCACAAGCCTTGCACAAAGCACAAACTAGGCATCCCAACACCTGTTCTGCCCACAGAGCTGGATCTGATAGGCATTCCCAGGATATGCCTAGGGAGCAACCTCTGCACAGAATGTACCACCATTGGCAGCCTCTTCTAATCTTGAAACACAACCAGAAGATGTACCCCCTCCTCCCATATACCAGCTTAGTGGTTATTGCACTTGTCCCAGATTTAAGTGACCAGAGTTTAATTCTGAGGGATTCCTAACCTCTATTACTCACTACCTGCAAGGAAAGTGCCATAATTGCCAAGCTGTAGACTGGAGCAGGTTCAGCCTCTTCTCTATCCCTTCTATTGAGCTTGCTCACTTGAGACAGCATAAACAGAATCATTGAACCTGGCATAGACAGGGAGATTTTACCTAAGTCTTTACCCTGCCGGTTGTAGTATTCCCCTGGGAAGGTGGAAGACCTGAGCTGTATGCCCTGCTCTCAGGACTGCTTAGCTATTTTACATTGGGCACTCAATACAAAGAATATAGTAACAATGTAAGAGGAGAGAAATCTGTCTGTCTCTGTTGTGTGGCCCCAAATGATTATGAAATTATGTGGCCCTTTTCCCATTGGTGCCATGTCTGTTCCTGTCAGCTACAATGAGGGCAGTTATGATATTACCCTTGTATGAGATGGCCACATCAAAATGATCAACAATCTCTGTAAAACCTATGGCCAACTCATACAGTGAATTTGGCTACTATGGACACTTCTCTCAGAGCTGAAACACCTGTTTGAGGCCTGGAGGATGGGTTTCTTGTTCTCTTGGAATCCAGAGTCAGGAGGAGTTCTCCCTCTGGACAGGTGCCTAGAGCTGCTCTTGCAAGGTGCAAGGCAGAGCTCACTGTTTTTCTTTCAAAATGCAGACACCAGGGTTACCATGGTCTTGGCCCAGAGACATCATGCTTTTTTCCCTGGAATTTATGGACAACAGGGATGAAATTCACTTATTTGTTTTACTCCCAAACAGAATTTCCTAAACCCTCTGGGACATTTCCATTGGCTTGGACTAACCCGCAAAGGAATTGCTTCAGACTGGAAGTGGGAGGATGGCACACCTCATCCCATTAACCTGTGAGTCTCCATCATGTCTAGAAAACTAGTTTATACCCTTGTGTTTTTCCTCACAGGATTTGTATGGTCTTGCTGATGACCAAAAAGGTCAGTCAGGATCCCCAGGATTATGCCCATCTTTTTCTACCAGAACAGAAAATTCTTGGTGTAGGATTATCAAGTGTCTTCATATTTTGTACTGTTACAATGTGTCACATGGAGAGAGGGATACTTTACAAGTTTTTTTGTATGAATCTAAAGTAAGAAATGAAATAATGATTGAATAAATGTCTGAGTCCTTTTGACAGACATAACGTTCTCTCACGGTACAAGAAGTAAGTGTCAAGATATCTCAGCACGCCATATATTTCAAAACTGAACAATTCCCTTTGCATGACATTACCATTAGACCTTGGGAGTTAAAAAAGGGAAAATGAAAATCACCAGTACTAACTTGCATGAGAATGAGAAAAAGCAGAAAACAAGATGCCATCTCAACTCAGCTAACAATCTCAAAGAGACTATCCAAGTGACAAAGATTTACTGGTTATGAATCAACTTATTGGATAATTTTTCTGAGAAATTATATTAATGAATAAAACATGATATTTCCAGTATTCTGGTATTTAATGCAGTAACACTGTTTGTGTTTTCACTGGTTTCCTTGGCTGACAAGAAATATTTCTTTTCACATACAGGTTTCCAGTAATTAAATCACAGCCTGGAAAGTCCTGTGCAGTTTTCAACTCAGGACAAGCCTACACCAATAGCTGTGATGAGCAACGACACTGTGCGTGTATGAAGATAACTAAGTAACTGTGTTTGTTGCACCAGAACAAGGAGGAATAGAGAATCCATGAGAAACACAACCAGGGAGGTCCCAAAGGCAGAGAGAAATCATTAACTTTTGAATTAGTTAAGTTGCTTATTTTGTCTGAGGAGCTGCAGTTTCCGAGGTTGTGGTAAAGCCCTTCCCAAATGTTCCTTGGTGAACTAAGGACCAGTGGTCAGTGTGACTTGCTCCCATTCTGGCTTCATCTGGCTTTATTTGAAATTGGCAATTTGTTCAAAAGTCAATAAATACCTTTTGTCTGGTGTTTCTCAGAAAATACTATTTGTCACTATTTGAAGGAGAGCCACGTGCATGATCAGAGGTCAGGAAAATAGACCTTAGATAAGAGGCTGAGAGCTATGGGACTCTTTAGCCTGGAAAAGCACAGGCTCAGGGGTGAGCTGATGGCTCTCTATAAATTTATCAGGGGTGCTCACCAGGATCTGGGGAAA